TCACAGCCTTCTTGCTCTTAAGAATGCTAGAAAGTCCTTCAGCACTACACTGGAAGTCCTTTTAAACAGCTACCTCACCGAGGGAAAAAAAGCACAAGAATGTAAAACATGTGACACTAAATAGACCATGAAGACGTTCCTTGTTTATGGTAGAAAAGCTAAAACAAGAAGGCAAAGCATGGTCTTGTTTGGCCTCAGCTGGGGACACGCCCACTGAGTGAATCAAATTTTTTGTCACTCTTCGTGTCTGAAACTGATCACAGAAGCACTTGCAAGCACTGACTTTGGGGCCACAAGTATATTTCAGTGAGTAGCATAATTTACAAATACAGAACCCATGAATAAGGAGGGCCACCTCTACCATTAGGGATGATTTAGGTCTTGGATACCTAGGATGCTACCAACTTAAATTAAGAAAATCGCCTCCTATATTCTTCCCTTTAGAAAATGTTCATCCTTGTATATATTTTCTACCTGTGGAATCCCTTATGCACACATCAAAAGGGATGTTGTTTTTTTCCCTTTTTCACATAGACTACTGGCCACTTATCCATGTCTGGTGATTAAGAGGTAAGATGAATAAAGCAATTATATAACCTAGATATCAAAGGATACTTAAAGTCTTTTGGTATTATTTTAAAAAACCCAAAGGCAGCCCTGGCTGGCGTAGCTCAGTGGATTGAGCGCGGGCTGGGAACCAAAGTGTCCCAGGTTCGATTCCCAGCCAGGGTACATTCCTGGGTTGCAGGCCATAACCCCCAGCAACCGCACATTGATCTCTCTCTCTCTCTCTTTTTCTCTCTCCCACTCCCTCCCTTCCCTCCCTAAAAATAAATAAATAAAATATTAAAAAAAAAAGATTAAAAAAAAAACCCAAAGGCTAAATATAATGTAACCCCAAAATTGTTTTAAGAATAAGGGGGAAATAGAAAGGTATATACCAGAAAGAATTAAATGTGATAGTCTATGGAACATGCATTTGTTACAGATTATTTTAATTTTTCTCATTGTGCTTTTCTATATTTTTTAAAGGCAGTACCATAAGCATGTATTACTTTGGTAAACAAAAAGCTGGTATAAATCCTATTTTGAAAAGGTAAAGCAGACTTTTGCCCTACCTTAAGCCATGTACAGACAGATCAAAATCTGTCCCACTTTGAGGAGTGCCCATAAGACTATCAGCTGATTTCTCAAAAGAAACCTTGCAGGCAAGAAGGGGCTGGAAAGAACTATTCAAAGTCATGAAAGGGAAGGACCTACATCTAAGATTCCTCTATGCAGCAAAGCTATCCTTTAGAATGGAAAGGCAGATAAAGTGCTTCCCAGATAAGGTCAAGTTAAAGGAGTTCATCATCATCAAGCCCTTATTACATGAAATGTTAAAAGGACTTATCTGAGAAAAACAAGAAGATCAAAACTATGAACAGTAAAATCAGAACAAACTCAAAACTAGCAACAACTGAACCTAAAAGAAACAAAAACAAACTAAGCAAACAACTAGACTAGAAACAGAATCACAGAAATGGAGAACACATGGAGGGTAATCGGCAGGGAGGGGAAGGGTGAATAGGGGAAAATGTACAGGGAATAAGAAATATAAATGGCAGGTACAAAATAGACAGGGGGAGGTTAAGAATAGTACGGTAATGGAGAAGCCAAAGAACTTATATGTACAACCCATGCACATCAACTAAGGTAGGGAAATGATGGTGGGGGTGGGGTACTGGGTGGAGGGGAATAAAAGGGAGGAAAAAAATTGGACAACTGTAATAGCATAATTAATAAAATATATTTTAAAATAGAAGAATCTGTCCTACTTTGAAAAAAGTTTCCCCAGAAAATGCTTGGATTCCAAAAAAAAAAAAGAAAATCAAGAAAACCTTCCTCATTCTCTTTCTCATTTCCTTCATCTTCTTTTTTCACTTTATTGTCTTCTGCCTTTCTCATCTGAAAGCAGCCATAAATTGAACACACTGGTTTCTCCTAGATTAAAGCTTCCCTCCATATTCCATGTCAGCGCTGATTATCTGAATGGATTAAGGCAGACAGTAGTCAGGGAGGAGTCGAGTCAAAAGCTGAGAGAGAGAGAGAGAGGTGGTAACTGATATAAAGCCTGTTCTGGAGGAGACCAGAGGGAGCTGACCCAGAGCCCAGGAGTATAGGCAGCAAGGTTAACCTGGAGGTAGGAAGTGAGGCTGGGCACCCTGGATCCTGAAAGCAGGAGAGAGCAAAGGAGGTCTTCAGGACGTAGGACTTTGGCTTTTCTCTTTCATAGGAGGCAAGATCATCTGTTAGTATTTAAGCAGGGAGGAGTTGGGGTAGGGAGCTGGGAGAGTGGTGAAGGTATGAAATAATAGGTTATGAGAGCAATAAGAAACACATCTATCTGTTCATGAGCAAGTGAAGAATGCTGACCAGTGACAAAGACCCAGCTGCAGCTGGAAACCAACCCATTTGGCCACTTCTCCGCACAGTTGAGCAGTGTTCTCCAGCCAGGTTAGCAAGTATGTGAGCAGATGGTCAATTTCTTCCCCAGTCCCCATTTTCGCTTATGTATTAGCACCTGAAGGTTGCTTCCTTCCTTCCTTCCTTCCTTCCCTAATCAACCTGAACTCACTCGTAATGAGTAGCAGCCAGCTTCCTCCACCCTCTTCTCCTTTGTATTTCTGTGGCTTCTCTGCAACTCTCAGGCCCTGGGCAGTCAAAGCATTAAGTGATAGTGTTAGTGTGAACCTTAATGACATTTTCATTTTGATAGGGCACACATGATTAAATATCAGGGGTTTGATAAGGGGTGGCAGGATGCAATTACCTGCTTTCAGAATGCCACCCTTGTGGTGGTTTTTACTCTTTTTGAGCACTTGGAATGGACCACTAATCTCAGGAGGACGCAGGGCCCAGTGACCAGCTGCTGCTCATTCTGTCTCTCCAGAGGCCTCAGCCTGAAGGAAAGAAAGTCTTCCAGCCGGATTAGGGTCCTAGCGGCAAGCCTACTCCAAGATTTTATATTTTTTATTATTTTTTCCTGGACAGGCTCAATGTCAGGTTGTCAAGGATACAAACAAAATTCAAAACAAGAATGATGGGAAAAGGGGGTTTGTTGGAAGGAGCATGTTTAAAAAAAGAGGAAAACCCACACAATCATGTCTTGATTAGAAATGACAAGTATAGCCATTGTTTTTAGCTATAATTAAAAGCAAAACATCAACAGATGTTTTCTCATTTTAGGCCCACAGCATCATTTTTCAAATCCTATGCAAGTTCCCCAATCATCCCTTCCTTTAAATGGGTCATTTCACGCCCATACAGGGCCTGAAGTTGCAGTATGTAAATAGGTAAAAAAATATCCTTTGACCTTCATTGTCCAAGTTCTAGAAATTAGGGCAAACTTGGGGATGAAACTCTTATTAACTCCCTGAAAGACAGGTCAATATGCAGACTGCTATCAACTGAAGAAATGCCTGAAAACCCTTCAGATATTAAGCAAAATTAACAGTCATAGCAATTGGCAGGTACTATCATTTTTAAGGAAGGACTACATGATTATATAATAAATAATAATAACAGAAAACTTAATAATATTAATGATGTGGCCCTGGCTGGTGTAGCTCAGTGGATTGAGTGCGGGCTGCGAACCAAAGTGTCACAGGTTCGATTCCCAGTCAGGGTACATGCCTGGGTTGCAGGCCATGATCCCCAGCAACCACACATTGATGTTTCTCTCTTTCTCCCTCCCTTCCCTCTCTAAAAAATAAACAAAATCTTGAAAAAAATAGTAATAATAATATTAATGATGTCATCCTTAACAATGTCTGCTACCTTTGTAACTTCTGTGCACCTTAGCTATAGGTTTTGAAATTATTACCATGTGAGACTGGCTTATTCTATCCCGAAAACTGAGACTCAGCAGCAATGGCTCTGCATGGGTCATCCGGCCAGTACTGTGTGGATTAGCACCTCAGTCAACCGAGGCTAACGCCGGTGCCCTTGCCAATCCTATTACACAGAGTGCCCCACTGGGCCATGACTTTGTGGCCATAAAGACCACAAGGTATAGGATAGGTCTTCTGAAACCCACGATTGCACTTTTCAGTGAAAAGCAATCCTGGGTTTCAGTGGAAAGCGAAATGGTCCCAGCAGATTTCTTAAACCTGAGACATGTTTCCCTTCTTGAAATCATCATGGCCAAAATCTAACTGAAGTATCTGCAGAAAATTACACCTGAGACATGCACAGGGGCCCCACTAACCGGCACCCTAAAGAACAAAGCTTCAATGAGAACTAGGAGAAAAGGAAGACTAGAGTGAGCAGTCAGGAAATTAACGAGACACAGCCTGTCTAATTTTCATGCAAGCAAACACCATCACAAATGCTTTCAAAGGTCAAGTTGCAGCGAGTGAGGTAATGCTGTTTGGGGAGTGAAATAAACATTACTTTGGTTTTGCTCTGGGAAGGTTTTTATTTTTTTTTTCTCTCCCTTTTTCCTCTTTCTTTCTGTCTCAGTTTTGAATTGCTTACCCTTCAGTCAAAATTGTCCTCATCACCCTGGTCTCTGTGAAAACCCTTTTATAGCCTTCCTCTGGGCCTGCAGATTTTTTTCCCCCAAGACCCTCTGCTCAGCAGACACTATTTCCTTACAAGGCTGGAGGATTTTAAGAGTGTGGGAAATGACGTTGGATTTGACTTGGCAGAACCAAAGCGGGCAGAGAAGGGAAGGGGAGAGAGAAAAGAAGGAAGGGTCTCCCGTTCACAAAATAATCTTGGTTTCCAACCAACAGGCATTGCACAAGTTAAGCATTTTCATAGATAGTCTTAACAGTTTTACAAGATTTTTTTTTTCTCTTTCAAAATGTGCTTTCAACAGTCATGCTGTTTTCCAACGAACTGAAAGGGGCACTGTGTTCAGAAGCGACAAGGATGGGCTATAAGCATATGACTGGAGATACAAAAGCTGCTTTATTTGAATGTATGTTTGCCCTGGCAGGGATTCGGAAACCTACCTGCACATAATCCACACTTCGTCCCAGCGCTCTGAAGGCCGTGTACATGACTTCTCTTTTTCCACCCCATTTTTGCATGATGCAAATACTTTTGTTGGACAAGACCAACTGGGTGACATGCTGGGAGCTTTCTTTATGCGACTCCTCTGTCTCACCGGGACCCTTCTGGTGAAAGTTGTTCTTCCAGATATAAGTGGCTGATTTGTCCCTGCCCATGACTTCGCTGAAGATGTCCATCATGTAAAGGTCATCTTCCGAGTTCCCATCTATGACCATGACGACTTTAATCCCAGGGTAGGTGAGCCTTTTCACAGATTGCAAACATTTCCGTAAGTAGTCTGGATCTTCTTGATACGCAGCGATGCAAAGAGCAACAGTTTTGTTCAACTTAATGGGGGTTTCTAGGGATTTTTTCATTTTTCGGTGCTCCAGAAAGGCAAATAGGCTTTGGATGATGAGGTGAGATGCTAAAAAGGCACCGTACAGTCCAAAAGAGAAGTAGTAATTATCTGTTTGGATAAACTGGTAGCCAACAATATAAGCAGCTGTGATTCCAAGGAGGAGAGAGACTCCAAAAAGTGTGGTTCCAATTATTCTCAGGATACATAGAAACCTCTCACAATGCATCTGTAATGTAATCAAAGATACTCTTGGTTAATGACTCTTGTCCCGCACCTGTTACATACATGGTGTTATGTGTTGAACATTGGACTAGGAGCATTTGGGAGTTCTAGCCCCGAGTTTCTCACTAACTAGCTGCCTGTGTGACTTCTGCATCTCAGTTTCCTCACTTGCAAAAGGGGAGTATAAGGAAGTCCTTCTATGACACCTCACGGGCCTGTTTCAAGAATCAGATGGCATGATGGTGCATTGCACTATTGAAAACCATGTGTTAAATACATGGAAGCATCATTTTTAGTGTGTTAGATCATTTGTCTAAGGTTGCACCCTATATCTGTGGTCATAACTAAGTGAGGAACCTAAATTTCCTAGCAAGCAAGGAAAATCTTGCTTCCTACACTATGTTCTCTCTTTCTCCAATACTGACCCAGCAACAAATCCAGAAGACAATTTGCTAAATTGCTCGTGTGTCATTTCATCTCATCTCTAGTGCAAATCCCTCAGCTCACAGCCTTTCCGTGCAGCTGAGGTTGCAGATGAGGATACCTACCTGGATTCTAGAACTAGCTCTTCCACCAACTGGTTGTGTACCCTTTAGAGGGTCACTCTGCCTCTCTGGGCCTCAGTTTTTTTAATTTGTTAAATGACAGAGTTTACACTCAATTATTTCCGAAAGCTCTATTGACAGACATCTGTCAAAGCCCCTGTAACTCTGCACTGCATTCTTTTGTTCAGATGGTTCTTCCATCGCTAACACCAAGTGGGGATCAGCAACCTTACTGGGACACAGTAACTAACAGTAAACACACAATAAATGTTTGTAGAAGTAAATCATAAATTAAAGAAACAGAATCATGCTTAATTTCAAACAGGTAAGTTTCCGATTCTCCTAAAAGCTGTAACGAATTACACCTGAAACACATTTTAGCTCTTAAGTGGTGTCAGATTCCAGATTAAGGGTTCATTAAGGGTTCAGTCCCACCAGACAGTCCTCCACACCCCCACACTCAGGTTCTTACTGTACTTCTGTTAATCAGAGGTTCCCATGACCCCCTCCTTGGGTTTGAGTAATTTGCTACAGCAGCTCACAGAACTCAGGAAACCCACTGACCCACCTCATTATAGGTTTATTATAAAAAGATGTAACTCAAGAACAACCAGAGGAAAGAGATGCATAGGGCAAGGTGTGGAGGATGGATGTGGAACTTCCTTACTCTTGTTGAGTTTGCTACTACTCCCCAAATCACCAACCCAGAATTCCAAACTCTCTCCTTTTGGGTTTTTATGGAAGCTTCATTGCATAGGCAATGATCGGCTAAATTATTGGCCATTGGTGACCCAACCCAATCTCCAGCCCCTCTCCTCCCCCTGGAGGTCTAGGGGTAGAAGTGCAAGTTCCAATCCTCTAATCACAGTGTTCGCTCCCTTGGCAACCAGTCCCCACCCTCAGCTTTCCAGAAATCACCTCATTAACATAACAAAAGACACCTTCACTGCTCTCTTCACGTAGGACTTTATGAGGATTTTTAGAAGCTACATGCCCACAGGCCCGTTGACCCTTGAATGACCATGGGTGGAAGTGTGGGTCCACTTGTATGTAGATTTTCTGAGATGGGGAATCCTTGAAGGTGAAGGGCAGATTTAAGTCATTCTAGGATTTTTGACTGTGTGGGGCGTAGGTAGCCCTAACCCCATTGTTCAAGATCAACTGTATATTTATTAAAAATCACAAGGTGTTTTTCCCCTAAAGCGTATTTCCCTCCTCTCCCAAGAATGAACTATGAGAAATTGATATAAATGCAGCATCCCCATCTTCAATCACACACACCAACTTCAGGGTTTTCGTTCTATTTACATAATTACGGCTTAATCTTTTTGTTTAATTCAACTAGTTTTTGAAAGCTACGTCCATTCATTTTACATGGAAACTTAGGCTAAGTGATTATCTCTGCAAAATCTCTTGCTGGATACGCCCACTATATTTTCCTATTCCACATTAAGACTTAAAATTGAGCGTCCACATTGCATTTAATTATCTTGTATTACTATCTTGGTTGTTACTAGTTGTGTGGCCACCACACTGCTCTCAGCTCCAAGAGGCTCCATTCACATTCCAGCCCCTGTGGTCCTACACTGAGGTGGTCCTGAGTGGATCTGCATTACACTCTTGGGAAACATCAGCGTGGCTGCTCACCATTGATGTTTCCTCCGCTTGGGAGCCCAAACCGCTGGATGCGGCTGGCCATGGTGTTCAAGCCTTTGGAAAGTGAAGTGGAGATGAGGCACTTCAAACAGGGACTTGTGAGAGAGAGAGGGTGGGCCTCCTGCAATCTCTCCTCCTTCCACAAGCTGAGGTTCTTATCCACAAGGCGCTAGGGAATTGCAGAGCCCTGAGACAGAGGGAGCTTGGTCCTTGAATGGCCAAATGGAAGGAGCCAGCCCCCAGTCAGGAATACCCCCGCCTTGGAATCTCCTGATACCAAGAAATAATTTGAGTTTTTTTGTTTGTCTGTTTGCCCATTCTGAATTTTGGGCTTAGTTCGCCCTAAGAACAACACAGGTTATGCAATGCAGCCTAGAGACCAGGATTTCAGGGTGCGGACGTTATTTTCCTTAGTTAAGTACAGATGATAGTACTTGTCAATGACTGCACCAGGCTGCAGAGGAGCAAAATCAGTGTTTGTAAAAGTGCCTTTTTAACGTATTTTTTAAAGCATTCAGCTAACAATGAAGCTAAAACAAACAAACATGTGTTTCACTTCCAGCACTTACAGAGGACACCATTAATAGGTAACATGTGAGCCTGATAAAGGTGTGATCACAACACAAATGCAAAGTTCAAGCTGCTGGGGAACGGTGAAGCGCACAAGGCAAGAGAGCACAGCATCCCTTGCTAATTAAAACAGCTGTTGGGATGCTTAAAACTCCCAAAGGGTGCATTAGCCAATGCCTGAAGGTGCTGGGAGCACCAGACTTGGACTGTGGCCGTTTCCAAGACGTGAGTCATTCTCACAAGAGTGAAACATTTCAAGGGGACTACAGCCTTCTGCCAGGGAGAAGCTCAAGTGTGTGTTTCGCTTGTGTTTAAAATCACCATAGCCAGCGAAAGAACTGCCTGCTATTATTCTTTTTCCATTATTCACATTTTCCTTGCTTTTATCAGCACACGTGGACAGAGTGTTCGCGCAAAGCATCTGCTGGCCACAGCTGAAGTGGGAACGCCGTCTGACATCATAGGAGTCTACAGAATGTCCTTTGGAAGCCTGGGCAAAGTCGCTGCTCACTTGCAGCAACGAGGCTAGCATCGATCCTTTCTAGTTCTTCAAGGTCCGCACGTGCTACACGCGGTATCCCAGTTGCCTCACGTGCCACACGCAGTTTCTCAGTCCGGGCAAAAGGCACGTTGCAGAGTCAGCTTTACTGAGGAAATGCACTGATCTCAGGGACTGACACATAGGATGTGTTTCTTTATAAATTCCCCTGGGTGATTTCATAGATATGGGCACCATGTGTGAGACTTTCTGAGACAATCTCCGATTCAAATACTCTGTTTCATAAGCAAACTCTCCTTGTCAGACATATGGCTTTATAGTTAAATTGGAAAATCTGGTTAGTTTCACCCTAGATCATAGGAGCTTACTGCTAGATTGCAAGATGATTTAGAAATCTACCTCTCATAAACATTTAAAATATAAACCTTGGATTGCTTTTTGCCTAGTATCAGAGTTTAGCCTATTCATTATTTTTAAGTTGTTATTGGACTTATTAACAATTATTTAGTAAGTACTGTTCTTTCAGAATTCTAAGCCAAACCAAGTGTTCAAGAATGGCCTGACCCACCACCACAGCATAAGCCCCACAAAGCCAAGATTTTAAGAAAATGTTTGGTTTCACTAATGTACCCCCAAGGACATAAACCTGGGTTATATTTTTTTTATAAATATTTACTGAATACCAACCTGGTTTATGACTGCTATTCAGTAAATATGTGTTAACTGAGTGGATGTACATTCATTCATCAATATCGCACTGGCATCCTCAGTGATGATACTGTTACATCAGCAAACATTTATTCAGCACTGATTAGGTTCTAGGTGGTGGGGCACGTTTGTTTTGTTGAACAGCATGATTCTATGTAATCTTAATAACGTACGTGGTAAATACATAGTTAATCTTGTGTTACAAATAACATACACGGTAAGGAAACCAAGGCCGAGTATTTAAATAACTTGCTCCAAGTCACAAAAGCAGGAAGGAGTAGGATTCATTCACCCAGTGGCATAATGCCAGGTGATTAGAATAGAAAATATTTGCAGAATAGATTTGAGCCCACATGACAAAACAGGCAGCATCCTTTTGTTCTGGCCAATGAAAGTGTTATATAAGATTAGAAAATAACTTTGAAGCCTATTTTCCTGCTGCTATGGAAAATGAGGAACTCACCTGCACTCAGGTGAGTGCACACACAAAACCAGCCAAAACACAGACGATATCTCGGCTTATACACTTTCCTATGTGGGGCCAGTCCAAAGGGACATACATGGAATGAGGTTGGCTGAGAGGAAGCTGATGGTTCCATCTGTGCAACAGCAGTGCTGCCAAAGTCTTGTTTCACCATTAAGAAAGGTGCTCCTATTTCCATTGGTTCTGCTGTAGAGCAGATACAAGCCTTGCTGTTAGCTCAGACGCCCCAAGTGGAACTCTACAGGTCATCGGGCATCAGGGCTCTTTCCTTCTCCTTGACCTCCTTGAATTAACCAAGGACGAAGGCTGCATCAGAGTAACAGCGCTCTCACTGTCCTAGTGCAGTGGTGAGACGCGAGTTCTCACAGTTTTCCCTTTCCTTGTGCATCTGGGGAAAGCGGAAGTGAATTCAAATTAATCAAGTCAGCACCTGGGGGAAGCTGAAGACTTCAGCCCACGATACCTCTTCTGATAGGGCCTCGCTTACCTCTTGCTCCCCTCTGAACTTCTCCAAACTGTCCCCTCCAACTCTGTCACTGTCT